AAAGCGTGACTGAATCAATTGACGTTTAGAAATGAAAAAAAAAAACAAGCTCTTTCTGTTCAGTCAGTCTTGATTAACCAACCTGATTCAAAGAGATTTTTTTTTGCATTATCACTTCTTTGAACTGAATTAAAAGACTGGTGAAATCTAAATTTGATTCTTTTACTTTTAATTAATGCCTCCAAAGATTATTCTAACAACGGATATTTTCAAACTGTAACATTCGAGAATAAAATAATATATTTAATTTCAGCCAACTTCTAGGATTTTTTTTTCATAAAAAGCGCTTTTCTAATTATTTTTAATGATATTTAATTGATCTCTTATTATGAAATTATATTGCAAATAAGTTTTAATTTTTTTCTTCTTTAATATTCTTACAGGTTGACAATATTTAATTAAGATCAAAAATGAAACTGCATGAAACCAAATCTTACGCAAAAGTACTTTTTAAGTTACCTCATATTTCTTTTATGTAAACGACAACTTTTAACATTATGATAAATTTTATACATCTTTAAATAGTAAAAATTTCCGATTTTTTTACTATTCTTCAAGAAATACATTCTAATTTTTACTTCGGCTCACCTGTGTATATAATTTTCTGCAAGACATAAATTTTTATGACTTTATTCTCACTCCTCGTCTCTACAGAATCAGCATTTCGCTTTTCGGAATGTGTTTGCAGGAGCATCACGTTATTATTTCTCGGGCCAATTTGCCCTTCACTCTATCCATCTTCGGCTGCACGGAAAGCGCCGCCACACACTAATCGAAAGCCAATTTGGAGCCGAAAAATAACAGCACCGAGTGAAAAATGGGAGGATCGAGCAGTGAAAAGACGTGACTCAAGAAAGAAAAACTCGCCTCTCTCGGAATCTATTTTATTATATGATTATTGAAAAGCAACGTGCGGCCGAGTGGGAGCATCGCTCACAATATATCGCGTGTTTCTGGGCAATCACTCTCTCGTGCATTTTGGTCAGCACTGACTGAGAAAGGGTCACGGATGGAGGATCTCTGTGCAGCCCCTGCAACCATCCCATTCAGATTATTACATTTCGTTTTAATTGCCGGAGAGCAATTTGATTTTCGGATGATTTCACTCCAGATTCCCACGCCGACCGCCGCATTAATTAGCGCACGCAGCTCGCACGATATATTTCGGCTGCACCAGTTTAGTTCCTGCGGGGTGAGCATGAAAATCGTGCCGATTTGTTTAGTCGCACATTTACCGTTCTGGCCGAGTGAACGGGGTGCTGCCGCCGCTTTTGTTTATTATCAATCGCACATGCATGGCTGATTGCATACCCTTTTGCCGCCACGGCGCGTGCATTTCATCGTCGAAAAAAAAATGAACTTGTCTAATTTATCATTGTGATTTATATGCGGAGATGTTTGTGTTATTGGCGGGGGAGCGGTTCTGCGAGAATTTATTTAATTTAAACCGACCAGGGTGGTAAAATGCAAAATATTTGCACGTTTCGCCAGCGTAAACAATTTTGTTAGGCAGTGCTTGTGAGATATAAAAGTTAGCTGAATCAGTTAAAATTTAAGGGAAGAATTTATCATAAATTAATTCAATTTTTCCCTCAGATTTCCCTGCAGGAGAGATATTTATCAGGTTCATAATTTGCATGTAAAATCTTATTTTATAATACATTTCATTACGATTAGTTCATGCCTGGTTCATGCCTGCTTGACTCATACATTTATCTTTTTAATCTTAGTTAAAAATTCTATCTCAAAATAATCATAAAAAATCGCTGGCATTTTTTTAAACTAATTAATTTCTCATGTAAAATAATATTTTTATATATTTTTGCAACGTTAAAAATACTAGTAAAATTATTCAAAGTTCAAATTTTAATAATAAAAAACGTTAATTGCAAATAAAGAAAAAACGTCATCAGATTATAATTATACTTTGTTTAAAATGCAAATTACTATGTTATTTTTTGCCTATATTTTTGGAACCAATTTAAAGAAATAATTATTAATCTCATTTAAAATAAATGTATATTTAGAAGAGCACATTGACTTAATCCAAAATTTTCTTTCTTTCTCTTGAGTGAATGGCGCTTTTGGAGCAGTCGTATGGGCAAAGTACAAAAGTCTCCTACGCCCAGAGCCCGCAGACGTGCGCGCGCGTTGAAAAGAATAAGTGAAAACCCATCACGAATTATTAAATTACATCGGTTGTTGCATTTTCATTGTATTTCGGGATGAGATGTGCTGAGTGAGCCAGCGAGAGTCGTGGCTGGATTTGGGCGTTTGTTCGCGCGGCTATGGGACCAACGCCTTTGTTTGGTTCATTCGCGTATAGAAAATAGTATGTATATTTGTGAAGGCGCATATACACCTTGGCCGAGATAAAACTCTCTCGCGAGAGAGGCTCATCTCAGGCCCCTGCGGCCATCTCGGCGGACGAACAATACCTGCTGAATGCTGCTCGTCCCATTACCGAAGTCAACTGTACTTTTCTCTGTGTATGTAAGAGACGAGCTAAAGTATTACTCTCTCGCGGTTTATCAAGGGCAAAAAAGTTGGGAGAGAGAGAGAGATATTGCGGCGGAATACAACAATGCGCGGACAATGAGTATAGAGTCATGACTCGAGGTTTTGGTGCTGGTGGCTTTTTTGTCAAAGGGAAAACGATTCAAATGAATAATCGAAATTAAATTTCCATTAAATTTATTTGTCACAATGGAAAAAACGGACGAGTATTAAAAAGGTCTGAAAGTATTCCTTGAAACTAGCGCCATCATATTTTTAAAACAGACATATAATATTTTCTATTTAACAATTTAAAATGCTGCATAATTTTTTCCTTTATTGATGTCTTTCAACTAAAATCTGGGCCTGAAAGTTTTAATTTCTCTCTTTTTTTACTTTTTCATCTAAGGACATAAAATTTCATAACCATGAAATTTTAATTATGAAATTTTTAAATTTCAATTTATTTCTCCATGATTGGCTAATTGATGTCTTGAATTCCGATTGTTACCCGACCTGCCGGTAAAACAAAGGAGTAAATTTCTCCTTCGTGCGGATAGAATTCTCTCCTTGCCAGGTCCACCCACCCCTGCCCACATCTCAAATATGCTGTGCGCTTTGCAGCCTAAAATTAAATTACAACGTGATTTATTGATTCCACGCCGCGGCGGTCATTGTGTTTGCAACGAAATAATAATTACGTTCCTCTTCTCCATTCATTCTCTCGGCAGCGTGCGCGCACATTTTTTTTTCGCCGAGAAACCACCCGCGGCAAAGTGCTCCAGTAATGAATATGGAGTCCATTCATGCACCCAACCCGTTGCTTCTTCTCCGTGTATTTATATTGATTGAGACGCGAGATTAAAAAGGCCGTTTCGCTCACTCTGAATATGAAGGAGAGGGGAAGTAACAATCATACACATACAAAAGGTGACTCTTCGTCTTTCGTACTTAACTTTTTATAAACGGCTTTAATCCCCTAATAAATCTCCCAAGGCTGGGGAGTTTTTAATTTTTTACATCTCCTCAACGGAGATTTACGAGAGTTTCTCACAGGTACAATATGAATATGAATAGTATATAAAAATTTACGATTTCACTTTGGCAATAATAATACAAGGTCATAAATTAATTACAGCCAAACTATCGCTTATGAGTGATGCTTGCTCTGATATAACAATACTATTTGCCGCCTGTTTTGATTTTTTTTTGCGCGCGAAAACAAAAAGAATAAGCGAGTGGATGAAGCGCGCAGCATAAATTACACAGACAAGAAAGAGACGCGACGTGATTTATTTCAGCTTTAATGTGCCTGTTTTTGATCAATATAAGCACACAAGCGGCGGCAGCTCGCTCTCTTTTGTTTCGCTATCAATACACAGAGCACGTTGTTTTATAGCCGAAGAGACGGCAGGAAATTTTCCATAAATCTTTGCGCATCAAAACAAGACCGAGAGGAGAATGACGTCTCGAGAGCAGCATCTTCCAGCAGCACAACAATGAGACGAGTTGAAAAACTCTTTCCTGGAAATAACACCTGTCCGGCCAAGCGTGCGCCGAATAGCAAGAAGTTTCGCAGTGCAATTTGCTGTGTTCGATTACAAATTGATGTAAAAGACGTTATTTCATTTTTTTCTTCTTTTAATTCTAAATTGAAAGAGAGGTTTCAATTCTTTTTGAGAACCGTGTCAGCTGCTGATTAAAATGGCAGATATTGAAGAGTGTGATGCAAAAAGTCTGCTGCCGGCGGAGGGAAAATATCTAAAGAAAGAAACTCACCGTGTCTCTCTTGTAAAACGTCCATTCATGTTAATGGAAATGAAAGTGAAAAGAATGGAGACACTGCAACCTTTGATCTTTCTGAGTCTCCGGCTGTGGGACAAATATTTTGAGCTCTCGCGGTCAGAGACTTTTCTAATGCAGATTGGAGTGCCCGTATTTAGAACGGGTGCATCAATATGAAAGGGTAATTGGCTCGCTTTGTGCAAATTCTTGTAGAACGAAGTGCACCGTTCAGACTGTCAAGAACGTTCATAAAAAATATTAAAAAATTCCTGTTTTCATTTTTGTTGATGTAATTATTCTAGAAGGAAATGCAAATCTTTAATTAATTTTGTAAAATAAATTAAAGTGGATGTGTCAGACTGGAATCTGATAAAAGAACTGGTGAAATGGACACATTGATTATTAATTCACTCTAATAATTTTATAGAAAATTAAATTAAGATATAACTTGAAGAATAATGGTGCCTAAATTCAATGTGCGTTCAAAATGAAACTTAATTATCTCAAATGAATTTAAAAAATTATCATCTCACTGCCAATGCCAAATAAACAAAGTGAAATTTTTGTGCTGATTTGAACAAAAAATATTTTCCTTTTTGCCTAAACCCTTTCTTCAACTTAAACTAATAAAATTAAAATTAAATTAAATTTCTTATTTTCTTTAAATTTTTTTCCAGATAATGATAAAAATCTTAATAAAAAAAATCAGGGTGCCCTACCTGTGGTGAAGAGGACGATGGCTTTGAGGCAGCTGTACTCGGCCGAGTCGACGTGCAGTGCCTTGAGTTTCTCGACTTGCTCCTGGAAGATGCGGATGTGGTCCATGAAGGCGACCACCCTGTCGGCGGCCATCGGCGACGCGTGCAGACCGGCCGCCGCCAGCAGGGGCGCCACGTGCAGGGGCATGGAGCACTGGGACGCGTTCAGAACAAACAGTTCGCTCCACACAAGCCTCAAAAGGGCCACCTGGTCGGTCACCTGCAGGTCAGGGAAAAAGGGGATGTTCCTGGCCCACTCGACCGCCGAGAAGAGCAGCCGCGCCGCCAGTTCGCAAATATTGTCGATGCCCATGATATTGTTGGGCTGCATGCACTGGCCGTAGCGCGACGTCGGGTACGGCTCGGCGCGCAGCAGCAACGAGATGTAGCTCGAGAGGTACGAGTGTCCGTTCATAGGGTCGCCGTTCGTGATGGCCAGTTGGCTTGGAAACCCTGACGGCTGCGACGGCGGCACCCTGCCCCGTTGAACAGCTACAACACAAAACAAAATAACAATCAACGTCAAATTTTTTATTATTTTTTATTCTATAATAAAAAGTCCGTTATTAAAAATTAAAAATTTTCCTCATAATATTCAATAAAAATTAATTAATTTTGTTACATTTTCATATTTTACAAATTTTTATTTTATAAAATAAAATAAATGCGTCAGTTAATAATTTGTGAATTAACTTTATGCGTTGGTTTGGATAATAATTTCAACAGTAATGTTTTGAAACCTAGATATATATGAAATTATTTTAGCTGTAGACAAGCTGCTTACAATAAATTATTTGAACAGTATATTAAATTTAAAATTATTAACTTCAAAATGTAATTATCTAGTAACGAGTGTTAAGACATTACTATTATAAGATTAATTTATTACGTTCATTACTAAAGAATAGGATCAAAATGAGTTTAGAGGTTAATAGAAAAATGTTTAAATCCAGAAACTCCTAATGCCTTAATAATAAGTTTTAGATTTTGTGTGGATGCATGTTTTTGTAATGATAATTTTTTTATAAGAAGTTTAACTGCTTAATTAAATTAAGCCAAGAAAAAACTGATTTCTTTAAAAACGAATATTAGTACTAGAATTTCAAATTATTATTAAAAAATATAATTAGATTGAAGAAATTGGCCCTCAAGAAGATGATCAGGGAATCAAAGAAAACAAACGGGCTTGGTCCTCGTTAAAAAAATTCTAATTTTTTTTTTATTAAAAAAGCAATTTTTTCAAATTTCATGTGCATTTTTCAAAGATAAATATTTAGTTTTAACATTTTCTGTTGCTAATGTGGTATTTGAAACTATGAATTGAGCACTAAACTCATTTCTGTTTGTAAGTTAATAGCGGTTGTTGACACCCGCGACCTTAACATGTGGTGAACCCTATCTAACTAAAGTATATTCCGCGACAAAGCTTGGCAAACGGACACAAAGGAAATATATTCTCATACAGCATTTTCCGCAGTTTTTCCGTCACCAAAGCGGCCGCGGTCAACGAACCGCCGCGCAGAACCGAAATAAACTTTTTCGGAACGAAAATAGATTTGGAAATGGGTGATGCACATCCCGGCGTGCACGGCAGCTCTCGTTGCAAAAAGCCGCGCTCTAGCTCGGAGTCACTGACCCTCGCTGTGCGTGATAAAAGCAAGCGCAGCCAGCCTCCGAATCACAATTGTGCCCCAGCTGGAAATTTGATGGCACCGCTGGACTGTTTGATCTGATTCGAAAGTTAAACAAAAATAGACACGCTAAGCACGTGTGAGGTGTATTTTTTATACTGATAATTGACAACACACTTTGGTGATGGTGTAAATTGTAAATCTAAAAATAGCTCGGCAACAATTTTTGTTGTTTTGGTTGTACTATTTTTTCAAAATATTTAAAAGACAGGAAGCTGATTTTAGATTCATGCTATTTTGTGTTCTGGCTAGTTCATAAAACCTTATATGATGGTCAAATAAATTTGCTTTTTAGGTAGAGACTAGATAGGAATAACTTCAATTGAAACATTTAAAACGTACAAAGTTGAGGAAATTTTGAAACGTCCCGATTTATTTTTACATTATTATTTTTTAACAAATTTTGTCAGTTTCAAAACTAATTAATATTCTTCCAAGCTGCAAAAATCAATTTTCCTCTCATCACTTTTGAAGAAAGTTTGAAAGTCACTTAAGGCTGCACGATATTTTGAAACCCTCTACTTGCCAATACTCTGTCTGTTTCCATTGTGTCAAAAAGGAACATTTGCTTCGCGGAAACTTTCTGCAATTTTTCATCTGGAATGAGCGCCGACGCGAGAGATAAGATTCGCGAGTCATGTTTTTTCGGCCGGCATCATTTTTTACGCCAGCCTCGTTGTTTCGCCTGCTGTGAGACGCAGCTTGTTATGACAAATTGGCGCCGGCGAACCACCAGCCAGCACCCAGCCATAGTCATTTGGGTCATTCCGCGAGCTGATAATCGCTCCTAATGCGGCAGCGCCAGAATTCGTTTCGACCCAGTCACGCCGCTACATGCATGGATCTTCCCAATAAGCCACGGTTGCACTCGTTTCTGTTACAATAATTCCACAACGCCCTCGCGCTACGTTAGGTTTGCTGTCGAAAAGCGGCTCGTGGTGTGAATTTCCACACGTTTAATGATCCTCTAGAGCTCACACATAACTGATGTTGTTGTCGACAGGCGTTCCCACACTAGGGAGCAAATTTTGGATAAAACGTGCAATTTCCTCTAAAAATAGAACTAGGCTTTTGAGCAACTGTTTTATTTTAATTGCGGGTTCTCAAAATTAGAAAAGCTCTATCTATTTAATTGCGCACAGCATTTAAATTAAATGAGTGAGAAAAAAATTTATATTTTTTAAATTAAATAATATTATTATTTCGACAGATTTTTTAGTTAAAAAAATATATAGCCAATTTTGAATTTCCCCCCATCCAGTGAAATGAAAAAATTAAAAATTAATTATTTTCTCTTAATTTTAACTAATACCTTATACTTTTGATTATCTGGCAAACGCAAACAGTTTAATTCTGAAACTTTATGTATTTTCACAATGACATTATTTCACTTCAACTATTTCATTTAAAGCTTATAATTATATTGTCTTTCATTGATGAAAAATAATAAAATAATTTTTGTACACAAATTTTCTTAGCTCTTAATTGTAAGGTGATCTCTTTTTTAAGAAGGTCAAGTACATCCTAACCCATTTCCATGAGCATTAATTTGCAATAAATTCCGTCGTCCGACAGACACCTCATCCTCAGACTCAACAATTAATTTTCTGCTTTCTAATTCAACATTAATTTGCAATAAAACCGCTCCTCTCGTTACTATATACGCGGCCAGTACAGCACGGAGAAATTCCAAAGTGTAAAATCAACGCTTCATGGGCGAGTCTTTAGCTATCTTTCGTATACAGTGCTCTCATGTGAGAAAGAATAAATCTTGGAGAGATGCAGCACAGCAACGGGGCAATTGATATATAATTCTTCCGCCAGCCAGCACTCGAGCGAGAGAAGAATTATAGAGTTGGAATGTGGCTCGCTATTATTATTTTCATTCCCGCGCGCACGGGTGAAATATGAAAGTTGCCGTGTTGGTAAACAATCCTGCGCGGAGGAGCTCCATAAGCTGATGTCACTTTGAGTAGCACCGTTAAGTTCGTCTTGTGCCCAAGAGATAAGTAATATTAATGAGCCGATTTGTGCTTTAACCGTTTTTTATAAAAACATTAGTGCTGCATCTATTTAATTTTGTGCAATTGGGTGAGCGACCGCAGATGTCAAAGAGTGAAAGGAATTTTCGGTGAAAGGTCGCCGGTTCAAATAGTATTGCTTTTGGCGGTGGTTTTGGTTCGAGGAAAAAAATTTAGCGGCGGTCCATTATGTTTGGAGACCGTGAGTGAGCTTTTAAAATTTATTAATAATATGCGCAGGAACGTTCTCATGTGTGAAATATGACTGCGGCGAATCGACTTTTATTCTTTCGTTTCTCATGTTGAGTTTGGGAGCAACCTTAAGGGTTATGGCTGAAAAGAAATATACGATCTCGTTCGCAGACATTGGTGGTTATGCTACAGATACAAGGAATTCGCAATTTCAAATCGTGCCCTCATTTTTTCCGTAAGCATAATGAAAAATTTCCTAATTTACCTAATGGTGTTAGCCTAACAAAACTTCGAGCAAGAAATATGAAAGAAATATTTTACTGAAAAAAAAAAACACTGACCTTATCAATGGTTTGAGGATTAATATTTAGACTAATCATTTTAGTGTAAAGCTTCCTGAAGCTTCCAATTTTAACAAAAATCTGTAATAAAATTGCTTTCAATCTCATTTTATTGGTCTAAAATTAATTATTACACTTTTAGTCGCTTTTCTTCACAATTTTATTAAATTTAGGCCGATATTTTAAATGAGTCAATTGTTTATAACTGAGTTTAACATTTTTTTTAATTTTAAAATTAAATTTGCATGGTTTGTTCTACATTAGTGATTTAGAGGAATTTTAAAAAATATATTTGAAGAGTAGATTTTACAAGTTATTGGTTATTTCCTATATGGTTTTCTACTTGCAAAGCATGGCTAAACATGAAAAGGTCTTTCCTTAAAAATTTAAAAAAATAATTCTTGCACTCTTGTCTGTCTGAAAAGAGGCCTAAATCTTTACTGTGCCAAACCAAAAAGTCAAGTTCCGTTTGACCGATCTTTCTCATTCTTTTCACATGTAAGCTCGACGGTGTGCGCGCCCGAAAAGGAATAACGAACGACGAAAAGGAGAGAGATCTGTTTCGGCGCGGAGAGAAAGAAAAGGCATCTCACATCATTAAGTGGAGTCATGTTTGTGGCGGGCCGCGAGAATGTGGCGTGACGTAATACGATCAAAAGAGAATAAAAAAGGTAGAAAATTCCGTGGCCAGCATCGCACCGGCGCAGAGATGGATCCGCGGGGGGTCACCGCGCGCGTCTCTCTCTCTCTTTCCTTCGCCAGATGGATGTGGAGGTTCTGGCGCAGCATCTTTCACTCGCGGTCCATTGTTGCAAGTGTCCGTCCGTAGCGGTACTGCGCACTATGATGTATGCGCCCAGCGGGACACCGTGATCCTCATTAATAGCCCAGCGAGCGCGTTCTCCAAAGCAGCACCAAAGCGCCAAATTTCTCAGAGGAGAATTTATCTTTTTGGCCATTTCCAGCCACTCGACCGGGACAAAATAATCGAAAAGAAGCTATGCCATATATCCACGTCCAGTTATTAGCCGGGGTGACGCTGCACTTTGCACACTCCGCTGCCAATCAATTTGACACCGAGCACGGCCAAAAACAATGACTCGGAAAAGAGGCTGTCATTAGTTTTCGGATTTTGTCAGAGTGTGACGCGCCAATCCGGCAGTATGCGGTGTTTGTTTTTTTGAGCAGTCGTGCACACCAGATTTTCTGTCAAAGTGAGATTTGAGAGAATTGGGAATGCGAAGGAAAAACGGACCATTAGAGGAAAAAAAAAATTAATAAATAAGTTGGTCACAGCTGGAAATTTGGTTTTTAAATTGTAGTTGGTGTTATTAATTACAACCAAAAGATTTTAATAAAATATAATTAAATAAAGAACTAAATGCTTAATTTTTATTTTATGCATTTATTAAAAAATTTATAGCATGTTTTTAAAATAAAACATGATTTGATTCAGTATTAGCCTATTTAAATAAATTAACTACAATTTATATAACTATGGACTTATCAATATTATATTAGGCAAAATGAAATTTTAATCTTAAGAATAAGGACAGTACATATTTGATTTAACATTAAACCCCAGATTAATTAAGATTGTGCATTTTTAATTTGCTGGCATCAATATTAAGCCCAATTTGGTTCTGCCATTAATTAATAAGCCGTGTATGGATGCACACGTGGATAAAAGTCATGTCGTTCTACTTACTTATACAGCAACATAATTGAAAAAGCAAATATAACACACGCTGCCGAGGCTGATTGATTAATAACGCGGTCCGGCGCAGGAGTTAATTAAATCAGAAACAAGATCCACCTCGCCGCCGCGGCGCGAGCGGGGCATACACACTAGCAAACTGAACACAGAAATTAATCTGATAAATAGGCAGGCACCTACTTGGAAAACGCGGCAGCGGCGCGCATTTCTGCTGTTGACCCCATCGTCCAGCAGCATGAGATGCTGATATGAAACACACCAGAGCACAAAACGCGAGATCAGCCAGTGGACCATTTCATCAAATATCACGAGAGAGAGAGAGAGAAAAAAAAATAACACGAGACCCAAATTTAATTATAATAAAATGCTTGCAATTGAGAGCAGAGAGGGATCGGTGGCCGCCGCTAATGTTATTGGAAATTTTCCCAATGTTAATAACAGGCTCTTGAGAGAGCCCTCAACCCTCTAATTCTGAAAATCTTGTAGTCTGATAGATGGTTTTATAATGCCTTGCCCTCTGATTAGGCAGAGCCTTTTTTCCTCTCAAAAAAACGCCCCCGCCATGTAATAATATTCCAGGTGGATTTATTTTTATGAACGTGCCGTATTTATTATAGCAGTGAGAGTAGCCCGAGTTGAGTGAGTGAGACTCGTGTTCCTTTATTTTTTATAAAAGCAGAGCTGGCTGAGAGAGGAGAGCTACAACGTATTGCTGCACCGACTGGGTTAAAATATAGCCGCGTGTTCCCACGCTGGCCAAATATTATTAAAAAGCAGCGCCTGCGGCCCGACTTGTTGCTTTCCAAATGGGAAATAATGTACAAGAAAAAAAAAACAATCCGCTCTGGGCCAGCACGTGAGTTTTATTTCGCGTCTCGATTCTCTTTCATTCATTCCTCTGGGGATCGATTGCGGAGAAACTGGGTCAGAAATTTTTTTCCCACAAAAATGTGATTTTCGTTTTGTTTTAAAAGCAACTTCCCCCGGCGACTCAGTTGGTGAATCGGCGCATTTTTAACGCGGCGAGATGTGTAGCGGTGATATCAACGGTGGAGCCGGCGTTTAATTTTCCAAGTTGTTGCCCACCATGAATGACCATAGCAGAGCAAACGTATGACCCCTGCACCGGAAGTCAAGCAAGAGCTGCGTCTGCGTCATTGTTGCGTGCGACCCACCGAGTTTTTGATTCGGCCGGTATAATTTTTATTTTATTTACAGTGCACGGTGCGTACTCGCGTAATGTACCTTTTCATTCACCTCTGAAGGTGCTTGTTGGAGAAAATTATTTTCGCGTGTGATAAGAACAAGTCGTGTTCTTTCATTAAGAAAATTCTCTGCTCTTTAGCAGATTTTTATCGCGCAGTGTGTGTGTGTATGACTTTTGCACTAATTGTTATAATTGACGATTCGCGTTCGCGGATGTCTGATTTTATCAATTAAATAAATTAATTGTTCTACTTGCCTTTCGTCGGTGTATGTAATTATTTTGAACTCTTCGCCCATTCCTTTTTTATGCCGCGGATAATTGCTGTGGCAGTAAAAATAAAATGCAATTTCAGAGGAAAAAATCAACAAGTGCGCCGCAGTTTGAATATTATTGGCGTCCAATAAATTTTATGAGTCGATCAAGGCTGAGGAAAAGGAAGATTCTCCCAACCCGCATATTACATATTTGCACAAAGTTATATGACCTCTTAACGATGCTTGACGAGAGCTGGATTCCACGGAAGATTGGTTCGCAACGTTATATAATTTTTTTTTTAAGATTACAGGCGATTAACTTTAAAATCTCATATTTTTAATAATTTAAAACAAAATCCAATTTCATGGATTGAAACTTTTTTCTGAGAAAATTCGCAGACGTCCAACAGCACCTCGTGTCTTTGCTGGATTAAATTTTCTTTTTCTCGTCCGGCGCACGAAAAAGCTCTTGGTGATGTCGTGAGTTGCAGTCCGAAAGGCGTTTCCTCAAACCGAGAGATGCTGCTGGAAGATGATGTTGAGGCCGCCGATGTAGGCAGAGATATTATTATTTCGCCGATGCTTTGTTATATAAAACAGCATGCGAGCTAGAGGAGATCTCCTTTTGGTCGTGACTCGTCTTCCCTGCTTTCCTCGTTCTGATCGCGCGCGTCCACATTTATCATAACGAGAAACAAAAACAGAAATTTAATGTGTATAGAATTTCTACGCGGTGCATATCCTCCTTCTTCTCTGCCAACCTAATTTTCTGTGCTGTTTTCGCAATCGATTCATTCCCACGCCGCGAGTTTTTATTTAAGAATCATTTTATAGTTTTTTTTTTATTGACGGGGATTTATATATTTTCTGAAGGCTGTCGATCCTTGCTTAAAACATCTTTTGAACGCGACAGGCCGAAAAGTGATTATTCCTGGCCAATAATATATCCATCACTTTTAAAATAATTGACGGTTCATTTCACTAAAAAAGTCAGCAATTAACTGCGAAAAAAATAAAGTTAAAAAAGTACAGGTATTTTTTTAATTTTAATGGTAATTTTCTTACGTCCGAAAAAGTTTTAAATCTTGGCAATATAATTAACAGACACATGCTGGAGTTAAAAATTTAACGCCGTTTCCGCTGCCGAGAGATAAAAAGAGGTTAATTAAGGTGATCATTGTTGTGTATGAGAGAGAAAAATTATATAAAACGCGCGATAATAATAAAAGTTGAAAAAAAAGAGTGTGGTGCTCATGCACCGTAAAAAACGCACTCGTAAACAACCCGTAGCTACACGCTTCTCTCGGAGAGGTGCCTTTTATCGTCGGCAAAAAATCGAGACACAATGTATAACGAGCGGCGGGTCAAATTATTTTCGCTGCAGACGAGGCCCAGACTGCTGTCGCGCAAATTAATTAATAAGAAGAGCGCGCACTTGCAGCTCTCACGTCGCGCGAATACGTCGTATAATTAAAGGCGTAATATGCTAATTTAATGAGCTTTACAGGCGAGATGGGCTCACCTGATTTCCAGCAGCACCTTATTAAATTTAAAAAATCCGGACGGAGTGAGAGAGGCAGATTGTGCCCTTTCACAGAAACTCCGTCACGGGTAACACTTTTAATTGAGAGAGCGGTCAATTTACAGCAATTGCATTTAAATAAATCAAAGGTCATAGGTGCAACTGTTAAAAAATGAATGAATGAATAAATAATAATGCAAAAGAATTTTACCCATGTTTATGTTATGTAAATTAAAGCAAAAATATGATTCTTTTAAAACATTTTTTTAACACCATAATTCTTTTAAGGAAAATTTAGGGCCGATTATTATCAACAATCCAGCGCTTCATGATTATTTCTTTTTTTATTTTTATTATTATTGTCTGCCTCAAATCCAGAGACAGATATTAAAGTTAAATGTTTAAAATTTGGCATTTATGTTAAAATTACTTTTTTTAAATACAATTTTTTTCTACAGCCGATTTTCAGCACAATCTATGCCGACAGAATGAAAATAATTACACCTTCTGCAAGGAATTCGCAAAGAATGTGAATAAAATTTGCTCCTCAGGTGGCTCCCCTGACCAGATTTATGGATGGCTCAACCAAACGTCTGACAGGTGCCTGGGAATGTTATCAGCTGTTGCTGTTATTCAGCGATTGATGGGCTGCACGAGAGGGACAAGGAATTGGATGTCAACGGAAAGCAGTTCTCTCTGAAATAACACGCATCCTTTTTTACTTTGCTCGGCGTGTGTTTTCGTGTAGTGTCTGCGAGACTGACTTGTGCGCGTCACGAGAGCAGGAAGATACACGGCGACGTCAAAAAGTGTTGGTTTTTATTAATGCTGAACGATGACGAGATGGACCTTTTTCCTTTCCTCTCCGCGTCTATTTATTCATAATGGAATATATTGTCTAAATTAACGAAAGGAGGACGAGCGCCTGATTTGACAGCTCAATCCTTGCTCGGCTCCGGCGGGTATATTAATTTTCAAAATGTTTTGTTTGAGTTGCTTTCGGACGATGTTTTTTCTCACACAAAACTCTGATGGGAATGTTAAATCTCAAAATGGAAATGTCATCGGCAATCAAAATATTACCTCATACATTCCATACGATTATAGTTTAATAGAATTTAAATTGCAAAATAAAATTTTAACCTTTTTTTCAGATTCAAAATCGAAATTTTTTCTTACCTTCTCTCCTCATGCCCATTTTGAGACAGGTTTTCAGTCTGCAGTACTGGCACTGATTGCGGTGGTGCTGATCAATCGGGCAATTTCGGTTCCCTCGACACGAGTAGGTCAGGTTCCGCCGCACGCTCCTCTTGAAAAAACTCTTGCATCCTGTCAAAACAGAGAATGAATATTTTAAAAATTGCCCTGCCATTTTGGATTAAAAATACGAAAGCAGAGGTACGTTTGTGGGAAAACGAACGGAAATGTAACAGGATCCGAGCAGAACAGGAATAGTTTTTGATTTTAAATTCTGACGTGCTCAGGGACGCGCATTGGCGAGTTTTTAGAAAAAATGGTTGAATTCAAAACTGAGAGTGATGATAACGCTATAGTTGAAGCACAGGGAAAAAGGACATTTTTATGACAAAAATAAGTTCCCGTGCGTTGACGTTGAAATTTAATATAACAGCTTTTAAAACTGGTATTATATCATTTAAATTAATAGAATTCCTATATCATTTTAAAACAATTGAAATTAAAATTTTCAAAAGTTAAAAATTTGCTAATTTATGTAGCAAACCTGAAATAAATAATAAAAAGATGTTTTTTTTATTGCTGGGGCAATTTTTTTTTTATTAAATTAAATTAAGTTCAAAATCACTTAGAAACGTGCTTCCCCGCATCATTTTTGCGAATGTAACAGCAGAATCAATCTGTTTATAAATAGACAACTCGTTCTATATATCCTGTTCGTTTGTACAATTGTGTAAAATGCAAATTCCCCAGCATAGAATAAACGGCACTGCAGCCTCGCATGACGAGCAAACAAATCCGAAGCCACTGAAGCATCCAATGGAAATTTCGATCACGCAAAACGCGAGTGCTCTCCACGTCCATTGAGCGTGGTAATGACGCGATAATTATTACTTCATTAGCCATGAGAGAATTAACGTCAAGAGTTAATTTTGGTCGCGTTTTTCATCATTATTACTTTTCAGCAGCGAGCGTGCACAGAACAAGAGAGGTAATTTAATTTGGCCCATTGTTTCCCGCGCGGCCCTTTGCTAAGATGCAATTAGAGTGAGAAAATAAACACGCCGGCTCTGAACTCTAACGCTATTTTTTAACGCATAGGGGCTGCGTGGGTCGCTGTTTTGATGGCGGATCAGCACTGTTGTTGATGGAGACATTGGCACCTCTTATTATATGCATCGTAATTTGAAGAAAGAAAGTTTACGGCTTAATTTGCTGCTACGCCGTGTGAAAATTCCTCGCCCATTAGGAATTATTGTTGTACCTCCCGCTGCGTTAATTGCGCGGCCAAAAAACTCCTGCCGTTGTAAAAAGTCAACAAAGAGGCAATTAATAAAGAAAAATTTATAACTGCTCTTGATATCTTAGTCTGCGAGTCTCTTGACCCGTTTTGATAAAATAAATTTGAATTGGCTGTTTTCCTCCGGTTCTGACAATATTATTGTATTGTGAGAAAATGCAAGTGACAGATTCGAGAGCGATTTTACTTTCAATTAGGAGTCGTTCGTTCGCCTGTCAGCCTGCAGAGCCAGAAATTAATTGCACACAGCGAGAGAGCAGGAAAATCGCTGCACGCCGGAGAGGAATTTAATTGACAACCGCTGGAAGTGAACAAATACACACCGCGCAATTGTCAAGTTTTGTTTTAAAGAGAGAGAAAAGTATTACTTGTCACACAAACAAAGGCCAATAACGGGCAATGTGTGTTTGTTTTTCTTTCACAGAGAGACGAAAATCCGTGCAGAGAGAAAAAAAGGAGCAGCGGAGCAAGAAAGAAGCCACAAGTGAATAAATCGCTAAGCCGTCCCCCGGTGAGCTCGATTGATTTTGATGTAGTTGAGCCAATTTAACTTTTTATTCTTCGGCCACAGAGGCAATAAAAATTTCGAATCACGGAAACGTGGAATATCAACAAACAGGTGAACCGCGACCAGCCGGCCTTTTGGATGCGGCAAAAAATCTAGTTTGGAGCAAGTGGGTCTGAACTAATCGGTGTCGGAATAAAAAATGTGGTGAGAGAGCAAGCGGAAAGATGTGCCAAGTCGATTCGTTTTCGTGCACAATTTATGAATAATTTTGTATATTTCACGGTCACTTTTTTTCGCAACTGCCACTTATAATTTTGAGAAATTTGCTCCAGTTTTCACAGCTGTAATTTTTAAATAATAATTACAAAATTAAAGGAAGGATAATTTTGTAATTAATGATTGCAGTTATTTTTAATAATTTAATTCTTTAAAAAGTATAAATTTATTTTTTCCTCCCACTCCAATCTGCCTTGTTTATACCTGCACTGATGAATGCTCGTTCGGCCCCTAGGGGGATAATAATTCCATCTGTGTGCGGCACATTTTCACATCATATACGTATATAAAATCTCGGCGGGAGATCGAGGGTGTGAAAATCCAGCGGTGCTGCACCAAAACGGCATTCCGTGCACATTAACGATCTGTCCAGAGGAGGAAAGAGATGCTCTGTCTGATACATTTTTTACTTCTTTGGTGTAAAAATGACGAGACTTAAGGTGGCGTGTGATACACTTGTTCCATCACACCTGCGATTTGGCCGCGAGGGACAGGAAGGTGATATGGGAGCAAAAACACAGAAATGATCTATGTATGGGTGCCACACTCTGGTTAACAATTATTGCTTTCAAATATTTGATGTATTGCTTTTAGACTTTAGAGAAAGCCTAGGGAAAAAGACGTAATAATGGAAATTGATTAAGTGACGTGTCAATTTAGAAGAATCAAAATAATTATCTTTTCCTATATATCATGTGATGTTTTTATGATCAAATGATTTTTATGAAATTTTTTTAATAATTATTGTATTTGTAGTATAACATGTTCTAATAAGTTCAATAAAAAAAATTAATTTTATAAGAACTCAATTTTTTAATTGATAAAATAACTACACTTTGCAAAAAGGTATTCTCAAAGAATGTTTGACTTCTTATCTCTAATTATTCATTTAATTATTTGAATTAATTTAAGATTTAATATTTTTAACATTAAAAATAGGCAAACATAGCTGACACAGAAAAAAATCAATAAATGAAAAATTTTTTTGTAAAATTTTTTATGTCAATAATCATAACATAATAAAATAACATTTTTTCATTAAATTTTCAATAAAATTGATCCTAAAAATTATATTTTTTGCAATTAAAGATGTTTAACTAAGTAAGAGTCACAGGAGATACCTTGCGTTCAATAGTACAGGCGGCAGCATCAAGATAAAAATTAAAGAGCGTCCTCGAGCCATCATCTGAATTATTTTCCCTCTCTGCATGACTCCGTGAGCTCGAGAGAGAAAAGAGCGACGAGTCATATATCTCCCAGCTCCATCGGTCGATGAATTAAATTAACTCGGAAGAATTAAAAGTCACAGGAATAATTATGCCGTTGAAATTGGCCGCACGTCTCTGCCGACTGAGCATAATGAATGAATTCATCTTGATTGCTCGCGGACAGCGCTCTCAAAATAAGCCTTCGTGGGTGGCATTCGTCATCACGTAATTACCAACAAATCCAAAAGAGCTGCAGAGAAAGAAAAAAAGATATCTTTGCTCTCTTTCGAGAGTTTGGAATAAATTTGCGTGCCGGTCGAGGCAAAAAGGACGAAGTTACGCATGCATGCACACGGGGAAAGATGATTTTTGTGGCTATCTCTTTGCCTAATTGGGACGACCAGAGTAATAAATTGAAGGTGCACTCGGATGCGCACCAACAAGTAACCCGGCAGTGTGTCCAATTAAGAGACACGTGAGATGATTGCTGTTAAATAATAATAATAACGTGCTGCCCGGCTGTTGTGGAAAATATTAAAGGCTCAAGATTCACACTCGGTGACTCCGTTAGAACGTGTTATTTCGCCATAATTATACCGGCCGGAGCATAGAGGTGCACCCGGCTATAAAAATAGACTAATGAACAAATTTCTTGCCTCCTCTCGATTGGCGGTCAGCGGTTTAATTAACGCCGCCGCGGACCTTTTCAATAATAATCGCTTTGCATGCTGGAGATATATTAGAAAGACGAATAACCGCACGCGGAGATAAATTCTTCGTATATAGGATGGAGATGCACATCTTTGGCGAAGGAGCAAAGTTTCACTTTGTGGCATTTTGGATTAATTTGTTTTGATTGAGGAAATTCCGTACTAATTGGTTTTATTATGATTAGATGATAATTAAATTAAAAGGACTTTAAGGAAAGAATAAATTTTAGTAAAAAAATTTAATTGATGCCACAATAGTTTTTAATGGGATTTAAAGTTTCCTTCTTCATTTTATAGCAATTACAAGAGAAAATTGTTAAATGAGCGAGTTTGATTGAAAAAGATGGGAATTTTCTAAAAATTTGTCAATGGATGTAAATTGTTTGAAAGCTTTCATTATTAAAACAATAAAATTGATCTGCTTTAAACTGTCTGGCTATTTTTCAATTATTTTTCGTTCAACTATTCAAAAAATGAAGATAGTAAAATTATTATTGAAGATTATTGATTTAGTATAATACATAAATTGTTTAGGCATTTTTTTTGCTAATTCAATAATAGTGATGTTTTTTTTATTATATTTTGACTGAATTTCATCTTTAAATTTTAGTGTGTTTGAGTAACTTTTATTTATATGACCGCAGAAAATAAATATTCAAGAGCAGTGATTTTTTTAAAGGCTTTAATTAAAGTTTTTAAGGAAATAAATGTTGATCAGTATTTTACAATACCATAATATTGTATATCTAAATTTGCTCACTTCTTTCTCTCTCTATACCGATCAATACTTAATATTTATCTCTTCCTCCGATTGAAAAATCTGCGCCGCCCCAATCGCGCGAATTTCGTTTTCGCCCCGTGCCGCTGCAATTTCCCTTTCCGAATCACCCGCAAATCACATCAAAGTGCGTGGGGTTGGAATTGCACACCCCAATCGCGTCACCGCATCAAGTGCCATAATTCACCCCGACCCCCTCCGCACTGACAAATGCGCGTTTTATCTACGCCGTGCAAGATTTCCGCACGTCTCTTTCTCATATTTTTATGAAGGTGAGCAAGCCGCGGCTCCTCTCTCTCGCAGCGATAAAAACTCGCGGTGTTCGAAAAATATAATATTAAGCGCGCTCGCGTCGAGAGATGTTTTATAATGCCGGATGTAAATCTCCGCCGCGAAGCATCTTCTGCGAAATATTATTAGCTCGAGAGAGGATGAAAATATGTTTGCCCGCGCGCTTTGTGTGTGTGCTGGAAAATGCGACGTTAAAATTTAATCTCGTCGTGGCGGCTGAGTAATATTTTATTACAAAATTAAAGTGCCGATAAAGAGGCTCTCCGACGTGCGTATATATTTATTTTCTCCAAAATAACTCGGGTGCTTCATTTTTTTATGATTTTAAAAGCTCCATGAAAATTTTAACCCCCGGCAGGTTTAATATAGAAAATCATCTCGTCGGCACGTCGTAAATCGGAAGTCATCATTTTCTTAAACACAGAGAAAAGCAGCAGGCTTCTTAACCTTTGGGTTTCGTGACCCCCGGGTGACCCGTGCGCTGGGCACCCGACCGGCAGCGGCTAAGGGGGAACCCATCCATGTACCTTCCGCGAGCAGTGGGTTAGTGGGTCGTGACTCTCACACATTTGATCTTTTCTTTGATGATATGTGATCGAGATAAACCACACCATAGTGTTCATATCAGAGATGAGCGAGGGACCTGCACAGATTTTTGTTCCCTCTCGGCCTCGAATGGAATAAGAAAAGTGGCGGTTTCGCTGGATAGCTTTTTGCCAACTTTTATTACGCCCACGCAATAAAATAACAAAAAGATCGTGGCTGTTTCGTGCGGTGCAGTAAAATTATCTCTGCAAAACGATCTCAGTCAGGTTGAAGTCCAAAAACGTTTCCATAGAAATTTCAAGCTTCAGAAATACACGAGAAATTTAATATACAGCAAAGTATTTTTCCTCCTTTATAATTATTATAGTAAAAGAAGTTTACATTTAAATGTTAAATTTCTGTTAATTATAAAATTAAAAGGCAAATTAATTTTCATTAAATAGGGTGTTAGTGAAGATTTTTTCCAACCCATCCAAGTCTTTTGGAAGTTTGCACTAAAAGATATAATTTTATTTTAATTTTTGTGGCTAAAGAAAAGAGCCCGGCCTTTTTTAATAAATAAAGAACAAATCACAAAAAAAAACTTTAAATACCAAAAAAAAAAATATAATTTTAATTAATGCAAAACCAATTTTCTGTTTCTATATCAACACATAGAACTCTCTTTTTAGTTTATTTTTTTTCTAACAGATTAGGCAACCCATAAAATGTTTTCTCCGATCTCAAATTTCCACTCTGATGTATTAAAAAGCACAAACCACAACTCCTCATGTTCTATCTTTCCCAGTGAAACCCGACGACGGCGCAGGCCATCAAAACTAAAAACAATGGGCCACGCCGAGCAATAAACAAACAGTTTATTACGATTTAAATCAAGAGCGATGCCTGTGCGGCCGGTTACCTGCTGATGCCCAGGTCAACTCACGGCAGCGGGCAGGTGTTAATACATGCATTAGATTCAAATACACGATATATACTCTCTTCACATCAGGTTCGTATAAAAATATACGTCTGCTCTGCTCGCCCACCCGTGGGTCAGCGCCGGCAACGCAATTGAAAATCACGGCGCTCTGCTTTCCATGCCAATGTCAAATCGCATTAAGCGCCTGAACGTGGGAAAATTTTGCGCTCGGTGAAAGAAACGCGCGAGTTTCGCAACCTGTGATACAGATTAAGGGTCGTCTGATTTATGACGCCGGCGAGTGCTTTGCGTTTTAGAGCTTTAATTGAAAAGAAAGCTGTTGCGAGAGTTAAATATATTTACAACTTGGAACTCTGGACTCGTATTTGCATAAACGATGTATGCCCATAAAGAAAAAGAATAAATATATCCGTTTTAAATTGTGCAATTTTTCATGCCGCGCGTTTATACTCATTTTTTATTCAATGCTTTGAATACCTGTGGGACAACATAAGCCACTCGGAATAAAAGTAATCCCGCTTGCCATATATTGGGGATTTGCCGCTTATTAATGGCACTGCTTGTGTGTGTGTACGTGGGGGTGCGCTCTGCTGAGCTTTGAGCTGCTTTTTGTCCCCCTGGTTGGTCGACTGATTGACTGACCGCGGCATCAACCACCGCAAGCCGCCCCACCCACCAAATAAATCCAGATTAAGACGTGCAATCCCTCGCGGCGATTTCGCTCTTTTTCTCTTCTTGAGAGAGGCTAATTATTTCGGCTCGGCGGGAGGCGCGAGAGCAAATGTGGGCAAAAAAGTGACCCTCCGACAACGCTTGCACGATATGCAGCTTTTTTATATGCAGAGGAAAACATGATTGAGCTCACGTTTCGCTAATTAAGATTATGTGTTGTGTTCTTCGTGAAAATAAGTGAGTCGAGCCACATGATTTACTTCTGCATGTTAAGTTGCCGATTAATGTCTCTTTATCGAGATGCTGCATCTGCTCGCGAGACTCGCTCAAAACCTTTGTTACGAATTTGGCCGGACTATAATAAAGCAGACAAGAGAGCAAGGGAGAGGAAGAAGTGCACATTGATTTGTATAATTTTCGGAAGATAGGAAAAAATATTCAATGATATAAAAATGTTGAAGTTCTTTAGCATCAATTGTGTGTAAAATTTAAACAAAATAAATCTTTTTTTTTTGCAATTTTAAAAAATATTAAGAATTACAACAAATTTACATTTCAAAATTATTTGTATAGTTTTAAAATATTTTTATTTAAAAATAAGTTTCAATAAGCTAATTTTTTTTAAATGAAGATTATGTGTAAATATATTATTTTGTAAAATTAAAACAATTAAATGTAGTGAAAGTATATAATAAATGTTATCCATCATCAATCCTATTGAATGAGATATTTATCAATAAATCTCTCACTGAAGATTTTGTCCTAGCGCATGACATAATATAAAGATTTTGCAATGTCCAGATATCTGATATATTATAATTGTAATGTTAGTCTAAAATAAATAAAAAATAAATAAATTTTGAGGATAAAATATTGGATTAAAAGGAAATTAGTTTAAGTCCCTTTCATTTTTAAATTAAATTTCAATTTTTGACTCATTGTTAGAATTTGAGGTCTGGTCCTTAGTGAGATTTATGGACCTTTTTGTGACCGGGGTGTCCTGCTGCGGTCACAAGCCGCACTCGTCTGACCCCACGGGGCAAGAGGGTCGGCCACTCGGTGACCCCGGGCGCGCGTTGTCAAGCCGGTCTGACCGTTCGGGGGGCGGGTAAAGAGGTCATTGAATAAGTTTTTGTTTGCGCCGGTACTTACCCTCGCAGGTGAACTGTCCGTAGTGTTTGCCACTGGACTTGTCGCCACACACAACACACTCAATGTTCTGGTTTTTGTCCACTGCACCCTGCTGCGAATGGGACGAGCTGCCGCCGCTCGAGTGTTGCGAGTGCGTGGAGGCGGAGGCGACGAGGCCGCCGGTGCCAGGGGTGCTCTGGATGTCCCTGGAGATGTCCTCGGCCGTCGTGGGTGTGATCGGCGGGCCGGAGGTGACGACGGCGCCTGTCGACTCTCGCCAGGTGCCTGGCGGGGCGACAAGCGCCATACTTCTCGGGAACCCCAGCTCCAACGTGGTGACCACCCCTGATGACCTGTCCGCGGCCCACGGCAAGAAGCAGGGGCTGGAGTAGAGGGCGTCGACGCCGGGCAGCCCCGATGGCGGCGCCGCGGGATGCGGAATCGCTGTAGCTGCCAGGCTTACACTCGCTTTGGCGGAGAGCTGAACGACGACCCTGAGGTCAGGGTGGCGTCAGGATCGCGAAGGGCTGTGCGGCCGGGTGTGTTGTATACTCGTCAGGCGCTGTCGGCTGCAGGTCGGAAGCACGTCTCGGTGAGCGCAACAGCACGGCACGACTGAGCACCGGCGGACAGGCGGCCGCGCGCCACGGCCCCCACTCCCACCCCGCTAACCCCGTCACCATGGCTACGGTAGGCAGAGAGCAGCGCCCCGGACCAGAGGGCACGCCTCTGATTGGCCCGCCATCACTCAGCCTGCCTTTGCGAGCCCCTCCACCAGCTCTACACTGTTTAAAATGGAATGGTCGATTTTACGTATCTGTGGTGCAAACTATTGTTCTGGCGTATGCCGTAAAAGTACGTCTCTTCTCAAGAAGGGATTTTACCTGAGCGCCCGCACTTTTCCGCCTCCCCTCCCGTAGATGCATTTTACGGATTTGTTACAGAAAATTTCTTCCTTCGCACAGAATATTACGTACTGTGTCCGTATTTTTGTTTTACTACTTTCTTACGTATTTTTATGGTAGTTTTACAGAAAATCACAAAATTTATTTTTGCTATAAATGGCTACTTTTATTTTCAATAAATTAATAATCACGGATTTACAGAGAACTCACATGAAGTAAAAATTAATATTGAGGTAGATGAAACTCTTGACGTAGTCTTTTTCAGAAAATCCTTTTGGATCGTATCTTGCGTTGATGAAAACACTGTCTGAAAAATAAAAATAAATTTCTTAAGCAAAACATTGATGAGAAATCTCTGTATAAAATACCTTTTGCGCATTGCCAACACAACTTCCATTGACGAGGGACGAGTTTATTCCAAAAGTTCTCACTTCAAATCCAATCTAAAAAAATAAAAATAATATGCATAAATTTTAGCTGCGCGCGACTTTTTAATAACCATTAAATAAACGTATTTTCTTCTAATAAAAATGATTAATCCAAACTTACATTTTTCAAGTACTCGCGGAGGCCTCCAACTGGAAATTAAGCGGCTTCGCTGCAAAATATTCCATGATTTTAAGAGATGTTGTGCCCGATGCAGCAAAGAGGAGTTCTCTTTGTGGCGAAAGACGCTAAACTGATTGCAGCCGAGGCGCGAGGGTTGAATTTTGTCAGTTGCTGGCGTGGGTGATGACGTTTTCAGCCTCTCTCCCTATTCTCTCCTGAGCTTTCCTCCCCTAACATGCATGCACTCAGGTAAAAGTCCGAAAGCGAGATGTAAAATTACGGATCTGTTACAGAGACTTGCGCTACATCCCAAATACGTAAAATCGCACATCAATTTCATCCGTAAAGGTATTTTACGACGCAAAGTACAGAAAATTATGTCTGTCCGTACTATTTTTACTTCGTTTCTGCCGTGACACGGACGTAATTTTCCGATTTTTTTTGACAGTGTAGCGCTCGCTCGCTCGCTCGCGCTTGCTTTCTTTCTCGCACCTCGTCGGCGCTGCCGTCGACCCTGCTGCCTCGACGGGGTCGTCCGTTGCCAGCCAGGGGTGACGCCCCGGCAGGGGTCGGCAGGGGCACACGCGCTAGTTCCGCAGGGGTAGCCGAGATGGCACGCCACGCCACGAGCAGGCCCTCCACCCCCGCCACCGCCACCAATGACAGCCACGGGGGCAGGGCTACGCCAAGGGTGTTCACCGGTCAGAACCTCGGGGTGAGAGCACCGCTTGACCTGAGACCACCGGCTTGATAAGCTCGGATCGCTCGCTCGCCCTAGCGGCTCAGGTTGCGCCCTTCTACGATTCAATCCCAACTTTTTATAAACTCTTTTTCTGTAATGAAATATAATGCTAACGCGCGGTGCAGTGGTTTTTTGTTTCATAAAAAAGTAGAAAATAAAGATTATAGTTTTATTATTTTCAAAAAATAAAGCATGACTGTATAAAAATACGCATAAATTATAATTTAAATGCATACTTAATTTTCAAATTTATTCAACAATCTAACAATATTAAAAAACTTAATTTTCTTAATAATGTTGGTTATTTGTTATCGGTGACCACAAATTATTATTAATATAAATTGATTTAAATTTTTGTTAATCTAGATTTCAATAATAGTTTTTAAGTTAGAACAAGTATGTGAATTCTGGCAAGGAGCAATTAAATGAAATACAAATTACAGAATGTTATAAAAACTTAAATTTTTGCTTCAGGAAATTATTTTTAATTATTTGATTTTGACTGATAGGATTAAACATTAATTTCTTTTTAATACTATTCACTTTATACAAACAGAGAAACGCCGGAATATTGAATTTGAGATAAGCATGTTGTATTTATAGCAGGGATTTTGTATTGACGGGACAATAACATTTTTAGAGCATTTGAATGTGTGCAACTCGTCGCTCTCAATTCTCAATAACATTGTAGTGGGACAAAACGTGCACGCATCAGATTTGTCACACCTGGATGTAATATCTTAAACACACATACAAAGTCTCAATAACCGACAATAAAAGGGGTAATATCGCACACTTGGCGGCACCGCGTAATAACATGTTTTAAAATTCGGCCTAATAAAAGCAGCACACGGCTGCTGTGCTCTCTGCGTGCGTGCCGCTCTATGTTATTATTATTATTCCCCTTTAATGGATTATCACAAAGGCGAGCGCGCAGCATCCCGCAGATTTCAACCCCTTTTCGTTGCACCACCAGACCACATTACACACGCGGCGCGCTCGCAAAGCAAAGAGTGAATGACTATGTGGCCACAATCTCTCTCCTTTTGACTAAAGCATTCAAAAGTTTTATGTGCATTCAAATTAAATATGGGGCTCCCACTGATAAATTTATATTATAAAGAACTGCATTCATTTGTTCCGAAAGTTCTGAAAAAAGGCTCTAGAATAAATAGTATGTTAGCCCCTTTTTCTATATAAATTGAAATATGTGCCAATTGCCACTAACGACTGCGCCACGGACTCTAAAAGTCCAAATAAATTGCGTAAATCAAGAATTAATTCAATATCAAAGACAATTAGTGAAAGTATTTATTATCGGGACACAATCAAAATTAAAATTATATACATTTTATTTTCCACACAGTACATTTTGAATTTCAATTTTTTTTTTTTTATAGCTAATTGTTGATTGATTTATATGTTTTTCCTGCTGATGAGTTTCATTCAAATTTATGCTTTTTGAATGTATGAACTATTTTTGGGCAGTAATTGCCTATATGATATATCATTAATAAAGACACTTTTCAACTAAAATTAAGCTTGTCCAAATATTAAGTTCCAATTAGTTTCAATTCAATAATTCTAGGTTTGATTATTTCAAAATGTTTAATCAAATCAATGCAAGTTTTTAATTTTCACAGCCGCAGAGCTTCTGATCGAACGCATACAGTTTACAGATTGCCTTATATATATATATTAATATTTTGCCAACACACAGCATTTTTTCCATGTAAATTGAACAATTTATATTCGAAAAAATCAACAACCAGCTATACCACAGTGGTGGCGGCTGATAAAATCAAAGCTGCGGGGCTTTATGAGCGCGTTGAGCAGGCAGCGGCAGGGAAATTATTACTGTTTCCCACCCCAATGCCGAATAGAGTATAACAGTGCAGGGAATGCACACGGCCGCGGCGACGGACTTCCTGAAATACACTCCCCTGATATCATCTTCGCATGCGGCGGCTATTGACGTGAAAAAGCAAGCTGGGGATATTATTCGACTGATCCTTTTTAAATAACAAATGCGCGACCGACCAACTCTCCAAAGTGATGCAAAAGATGATAATCACCGCGAAAGCATAGCAAAAGCTCCTTCACTCTCTAGGCCGCTTTTATTCTTTCACTGCAGCCACTTATTGTGTATGTCATTGTAAAATAGTATTGCATGAAAGAGATATTCATTCGATTTATAATATAGGGGTTGATTTTCAAGCACGGACGCTCGAGGTTCGACTGTGAGAAAAAAGATGAAAATTGTCTGATTGCCATGTCAAATAATTTGAAATTACATAAGAGAGATCATCTGCAATGATGACGTCTGATTGAATATATATGTATATTTGCAGCACTCATCTTGAGAAATCGAAATCATTCCATGAATTTATTTCAAAACTGAATCAATATAAAAGTCATAACAATAAATTGTTATTTGCAATATGCGGAGAGCCTTTTAAAGTGATATTATAAGCCATATGACATGCAGAGAGCGCAGTTTAATGCAAAAAGGTCAACATCTTTCGGTGCGAAAAGTGTCAACCTCATCATGACTATTTAAAGCAGAATTACATTTATGGTGGGCGTTTGTTCGGCATGCACAATAATAAGAACCTCTCCTTGCGGTTATTGCCAGGCTGATAATAAATCTGGTTTGGCCAAAAGTTATGTGCTTTGTCACTTTGGGGCCTCCATCCCAGGTGTGGCCCATATGGCTCGCTCGTCATTTCACGCCTCGCGCCAGCGCAAATCTCTCGCATGTAAAAAGCAAAAAGTCACCTCAAAGTTTATTTTATTACCTCGAGCTAGCGCGTCTGCTGGCTGAAGAGGTGCATTCCATTTTCATCTTGCGGCGGTCTATTTTGAGAGCAAATATTGAAGAGAAAAGGCGGCGCGTGGCTTGTTTTGAAAACAGCCTCATCCATTTGTCTGGCGACTCCATTGCTTTTGGGGCTAATTTTAAACACGGCGATTTGTAGGGTTGGGAAACATAGTCAATTGTTTGACTTTTTATTTTGATTCTTCACACAAAAATCAGTATACAATTGATTCCCACTTTAGTTACGTACAATAATGTACACAAAAGCTGCATCTCATTTTAAAATCGTCAAAAATGCTAATTTGAATCAAAATTGTAAGTTTTTGGATAATGATTAAAAATTTATATAAAAATTTAGGAATGCCTCAAAGGGAAATACTGAAATTAAATTTTTTTATCAGGTTTTCAAAACAGGAGGATGTTCTTGCATGGTTCTTAACGCATCTTCTTTTGAACGAATCAAGCGCAAGAAAGATATATTATTATTTTATTTTGCATCAGAGACATAATCTATATAATTTGTCTAATAATTATACTTGTTATTTTTTGCCAAGAAAAATACTAAGTTTCCCAACCCCAGATTTGTCTGGTGCAAGAA